TGGAATTGACTTGGGAACAACTGGTCATCTCCAGTTAATGGCTAGACTTGCAGAAGGTACTGGTTTGCAGATTCCACCAGCTGCACAGCAAGCTTTACAAATGAGTGGCTCTTTGTCATTTGGTGCTGTGGCAGATTTGCACCCACAACTTTCCCAACAGACTGAAGCTTCAGCTTTAGCTGCAGCTGCCTCCGTGCAACCCCTTGCAACACAGTACTTCCAAATTTCTAACATGTTTAATCCTCAAACAGAAGAAGTTGGATGGGACATAGAGATTAAGGATGATGTGATTGAAGAATGTAATAAACATGGAGGGTTATTCATATTTATGTTGACAAGAATTTTGCTCAGGGCAATGTGTATGTGAAGTGCCCATCAACTGCTGCAGCTATTATTGCTGCTGTCAGCGCATTGCATGGCAGGTGGTTTGCTGGTAAAATAATAACAGCAGCGTATGCGCCTCTTCCAAATCACCACAACATATTTCCTGATTCTATGACAGCAACACAACTACTGGTTCCAAGTACACTATGAAGCAAGATAAAGTTCCTTACGTACATAGCTTTTTTTCTTGAGAATTCATCCTACCTTTTATTTAGATTAAAAAAAAAAGAGGCAAAAAAAAAAAAAGAAAGCAGGGAAGACAGAGTGGAGAGAACCAAGAGAGCCAGAGGGTGAACAAAGGTAAATATTTACTGGGATTAAACTGAAAGTTGATAGAATAAAGATGCACTTGTCAATGCTACAGATGGGTATATAATTCCTACTCGTCTCTTCATGCAGTAAAGTTAATGTTATTGCTATGTATTTAGGGAATTTATAGTGATCTCTATTGAGGCATAAAATTTTTGTTATTTCACATTATTCAAGCCAATGTTATTACCTAATTTTTGGAGAGTTGTAATTTAATATGCTAATGTGAAATTTAAATTGTACTGATATGATCCTTATTTCAGTGGTTATGGAGAAAGAGATTTTATTGAACATTTAAGAGATTGAGTATACAATACTTTGAATCACTTTCAGATGTTGTAAATAAAAAAATCACTTCCTTCAGTAACTTTGATCTTAAGTTTAGATATAATAGTAAATACTGCAATTTTGCCAGAGGTCATTTCAATGAACTAAATCTTTGGTTGAAATGTATGTATTTGTTTTATTTATACCCTCTCTACACTGAACTTTTGAACCAAGTAAATCTTACATGAACTAAAGTACAGTGGACCCTCAAGTTACCACAGGTCTGACATATGAATAACTTGGGTTTCAACTGTAATTATAGTTTTACCTTGAGAACTAAGTCTTAAGTTATGACCTGAATGCTGGCTGCTTGTGCTTCCAGATGGTCTCCATATATATATTTAACCCTTAAGAGTTCTGGAAGGAACATTATATCTTTTCCTGTACAGAGTTAGTTGAGAAACCCTGGAGCAGTGTCTCTCTAAGGACACTGAGATCTGCCTGTATACAGGAGAGAGACTTTGAAGGTTGTGTAAAGGAGCCCGAGTCTTCAACTGACCAATTTGAGTTATAAGAACATAAGTCAAGGGTCTACTGTAACCGTAGAAGAGACTCTCACTATTTTAGTGTCATTATTGAATTAATAGTATAATGAACTATATCACTGTTTGTTGGTAAGAGGAACTTGTTTATTATTTCAAGGCACAATTTCTACTCTAGATTATCAGGGTTAGTTGATAAGGAGGTAGTTCTTAAAAGTCAAGGCATTTAATTGAACTTTCATTGATCATATCTTTTAAGATTTACCAAGTAATCATGGCAGTAGAGCAGCATTTTAATTGCTAATTAGAGAAAGTTATTCAGAATCTTTCAGAAATTTTTATTTGATTCTCATATATTTTTCAATGTTATTGATTTTTTACTTAGTATCTTTTCAAGTAAATACTTCCAGATAAGCAGTTAGCTTAATGCTACAGCAACTTATTAATTGACTGGCATCTTTAATTAAGTATTTCTTTTTGGGGCTGTGTTCAGTCTGCACAGAAAAGAGATAAAGGAAAGCCAAATAAGTTAGCATCATTTTTCTTTGTTTAATTTTCAGGGAAAGCTCAAGGTCGCACAGATTCAGCCTAATCTTTTATGCTTTCTATATTTGTAGTGTTATATAATGATAATGTTCTAACACCATCCATAAGAGGTATCATTATAATATCCTATGTTAAGGAAACAGCAATTAGCTTTCAGATTTAACTAATGAGTACATCTCTGAAGATTACTAACTTGCACTTCTTACTGCGAAGGAGATCTTATTATCTGGGGACCTCAGCAGGAAGGAGTTGGCACACCCAAACTGATAACCTTGGCTACTTTCACAGGTTTGGGTAGGATTTAGGGAAACCAAGAAAGGTAGTTAATTGCTCTTGCCATTTACTGTGGAGGGAAGAGGGAACATGCCTACCATTCCTGGACCTCAAATAATAATAATAATAATAATAATAATAATAATAATAATAAATGTGTTTCATCTCCCAAACCTATTGGAATCCACAATAATCAGAATTATCTCCCCAAGGTTCAGAGAAAGGTTGGAGGATGTACAAAGTATATCTGGAGGGAAGCAGAATTGTGGAAAAAGAGAGGACATGAAAAATCAATAAAATCAATAGAGGGTAAATTTTAGCAAGTTAAGCTGGATTGCAGCTCTGGATCTTGTCTAGAAAACAAACAAACAAAAAAAAAGTTGACATTTATTGAGTGTTGTTCCAATAACCCTTGCCATTTAACAAACCACCCTAAAATCAGTTTAGGATTTTTAATGAAGCAGCCAACACTTTATCATACTCACAGATTCCATAACCAGAATTTAGACAGGGCACAAGGAGATGGGGTCTCTCTGCTCCACTATACTTAGCTCCTCAGTTAGACTCGATGGGGGTGACTTCAGAGGGAGTGACTCATGCCTGGGGGCTGTAACTATCTGTAACTTCACTCACTTGACTGGGCTCACCTGGGACCATCTACCCAGGTACCTATACATGATCTCTTTTCTTACACTGTGATGGCCGGAGTATCCTGAGAGTCAGAGGTATAAAAGAACCAGACAGAGACACTCCAGGCTTTTTCTGATCAGGCCTTAAAGTTTCAATTCTGCATTCAGTCCAAGACTAATGGAATTAACCTCCATGTCTCATTGGAGGGGTGACCAATTCACATTATACAAGAGTGTGCCTCTAAGTAGATTATTGTTGCAGTGACCTCTGGAAAATGCATGCTGCCATATGCATGTTCACTAAACCAATGTGAACTAATATAATTTTGAAACATTCTGACCACAATTCCAACAAAATATTTTCTAGGTTAACCATGCAATTACATTGACCAGAGAATCTGCCAGAAGATTATCTTCCAGAGACCTTTTCGTGCTCATAGGCAGGGCTTTAAGAACATGATTTGACTATGGAAGTGCTGTTAGGAGGCAGGGTTTGTTCAGAGGTCTGTCGCTGGGTGCCTGAACTAGTGAGTATATCTCCTTCTCTGGCTCCTCCCTTCTCTCTCTGCTTCCTAGCCACCATGACATGAGCAACGTTCCCCTACTGTGCCCCTCTGCCATGCCATGTCTGCCACGAAGTCCACTGGACTGCAACTGTGAGCCAACATAAAGCTCTCCTCCTTAAGTCAGTTATCAGGTGTTTTGTCTCAGCAACGAGAAAATGACTAAGACACTGCCTTGCTGTTCTGCAATTTCTTTATGGTTTAAAAGATGAGATAGCCTTTAGTATCTGGGTGTTGCATCGTGCCTAGGGGTTTCAGATGGTAAGAAAGCTGGCTTCAGTCAAGTCCTACAGCCCTGCATCTGCAGTCCTTCTGTGAGCTTGGCAATTAAATGAAGACGTGAGCAGCTTACTGGATTGCTCAGAGTCTTTCCAGGAAGTATACCAGGAAGCCTGTTCAAGACTTGGCTATCAGGGCTTGGGTGTGGCTCAGAGGTGGAGCACTTGCTCAGCATACATAAAATCTTATATTCAATCTCCTACATCACAAAAACACAGAAATTCTTAGAACAGGGTGTGCAAGCCGATTGCTCTGTCCCCTAGTGGGCTCAGTCTTCAGCAGTCTCACTCAGTATTTCCCATTTAACATCAGAGCACTAGACCTTTGGAGAGAGATGCTGACTCTCGTCCTCATTTCCCCTTCACCTGTCCATTCATTCCTACAAGCTCTTTTGCCAACAACGTCCAAGTTAGCCAAGCTAGTGGTCCTTTCTCTTTCTCGATCTATATGAATTAACTTGTCTGAGTTTCTTCATCTGTTAGTCAGCGATAATGATTATGTTGATCCCATTAAATTGATGTGAAGTTTCAGTTATTATGCATCATAACAAATAATAGGTAATGTATTAATTAGATAGTGCATTAATACACACACACACCTTCACACACAGAGTTATAACAGTGTCTGGGATATGAATTTTTTGCCACCCCCCCATGTACCTCCCTTATATTATCTACCTGGTCTTCAAAGATAATAGCATTATCAATCTTTGCTATTGTAACCTTATGGTTAAAAAATGGTGTGACTAATTCAACATTATTTTGAATTCCATTACTACCTTTCAGAATTTACCAATCCAAACTAATATAAATGTGTCTACCTCCTTATTGTTTTGTTAAGCTAGTAATGTAGTGCTTGCCTTGTAATACCTGGTGACAACATCTAATTTCCTTATTTAAATCTCAGTTTATCTTGTCTCCATGGCAAGATTGCAATGCACATAATAGATTATAATCTACCAGTATTTTGTTGGTGTCAAAAGAAGAATAATCTATCAGTATTACCTGCAGTCTCTCCTAAAAAAGAAAAAAACCCATTCATTGCTAGCTTCAGCATGAGGACAGCTAAAAACAGGTCTACTTAAAAAAAATAAAATTGGGACAACTTTTGCAGTATAAACATGATCACTTAAATGATTGGGCATCTCATCTGACAGTGAGCATATTGGCTCAGGACTCAGTATGTGTGATGTTCCTGTCTACACCCAGGTATCCGTCGCCAGACTGCTCATTGTGTGAAGAAGGGCCAAGGAATGGTGAAAGCTACATTCTGTAACCCGGAAACACAGCCTAATGGGAGACAGAAGAAGTGCTACGAAAAGGACTGTCCACCCAGGTAACCAGGGATGACAGGGGCCTGGAGCTCTGTGTGTCTACCTACAGCTAGTCTGACTGCATGGTAATTCAGTGCACAGTGATAAAGGAGAACTATGGGCTTTGCAATTATAATAGATACAGAAGAGCTATTAGAGGTTTCTATGAGTTATTGGAGCCTGGGTCAAGATGTGGGGATGTTTTCTTCCCAGGGAACAGTATTTTTACAAAGTTGATATCATGTGTGTGGCTTATATGGTAAGTCTAAGATCCGAGCATTGTTGAAGAGAATTCTAGGTAGATCCAAGAGCACTTTTCCACTGCAGCTTCAGCTTGTGTAGGCATCCTCAGGTTATGGTGCCCACTCAGACTGGGAGTGGGCTGGGAGAGAGGACTTGCTGAGCAGGCTTCCTCGGCCTCAGCAGTACTGGGGCTCGATGACTGTTGTGGGGTTGTCCCCTGAACAGAAGGGTGCTTAGCGACATCCTTGGCCTGTATCTGCTTAGTTACTAGCAAGATTCCCTGCCTCTCAATTCCAGTTGTGACAACCAAAATGTCTCCAGACACTGCCAGATCTCCTCTAGGGGCAAAATCACCCACGGCTAACAACCTCTATTAGAGAGATACTCATTTCCTAGTCACGTTGGTTCATATGCTAGGATCCTAAAAGGTAGAGAAACTGGGAGTTGGTGGGGGGAAACAGAAGGAGGGGAAAAGAAGGAAGGAAGATTTATTTCTGGAGAGTGTCAGTTCTCTATTGTTCTTAGAAAGGAATATATTTAGCTTACAGATTCTATCTGGCATTTTTTTCAGTCCAATGCAAACACCTAGAGGAGTTTAAATAGAAAAACAATTAGTATCATAAAGCAAAGAAGTGACAAGTTGGATTCTAAAGAAGACCTAGACTGTGATAAATGCTAGACAACTAGGTAAAAAAGAAGAATCGGGACAAGCCAGTTAAGGGAAGCATTATCAGCCCCACAGAATGTCAGAATGGCAGGATGCAGAGGTGAGGGCCCTCTCATTTGAGTCAGCTTTATTCTCTACTCAATTCTGTGTTTTCCTTTGGATAAGAGGAGGGCTGTGCAGTCAAAGCTGGGCTCTAACCTGTGGAGCCAGGACAGAGACGGCACAGTCTCCTCACATCACTGTAGTTCTTTCCTGTGTCTCTTTTCTTGGGAAGAACTAGGACAATCAAGGAAATATTAGGCCAGCACTGGGTTTTGTCTGTGATCACAGTTACTACGTTACCTTCTCAGAGAAAAGTGAGGTGGCGAGACAACTGTCTTAGAGCCAGTTGATTGCCTACTACTCTACAGAGTTTGGGCACTTTATTTGAAGTTGATTTCTGCAGAGTTAATGAGCCTCTGTGAATAAAGTCTTGGTGTATTCATTAGGTAGCAACCAGTGCACCAAGGCCTGGAAGTCTCTCCTTGCTCTTCAAAACCACTCTGCATTAGTTGACTACCTTCTTAAAACCACAGCTGTCTCTTTCCAGAAACTGATTTTATCTCTGCGACTCACATTCTCATTTCTACTGTTTTATGTAGTCCGTTTTCGCCTTCATATTAACTAGAAAATATCGTGATACATCTGCTATTCCCCAGGAGAGATACCATAGTGATAATAAACAGATAACAGTCTCATTAGTTGAGCACCTACTTTGCTCTCAGCTGATAGAAGCAACCCATGCATTTTCCTTATTATTCTCAACTACTTGGAAAATTAACTATTATTATGCCAGTTTTCCAGGGGAAGAAATGTCACTTAATGAGACCAGGATAAGTCGGTAGGTAGAGATTTGAACCCAGATCTGACCATCTCTAAAGCCTATGGTTGCTGTTACATGCAGCAGACCCTCCAAAGAGAGGCATGTGCTTCTCCACTTATTGGGCTGTGTCCGAAACAAGGTGCGTGCTGTGCTTCACATAGTGCTGATCTTCACCAGAAGATCCCAATGAAAGCACTTGCTTGCAAGGCCAAGGGGAAAGCTGAGGATATTGCCTTTGGATATGAAAGCAACACAGTCAAAGAGATTGTGGATTCACAATCAGCTCCTTGTTTTAGAATACACATCAATCTGTACTTGAAATTTTCTTGTTCACTTGTCAATGAAAACTTGACTTCACTATTTTTAGAATTAATCTCCCATGAGGGTGGTTGTCTTTGCCTACCTCTGCACATCAAATTCCAGAACTTGCTAGTTGGATCTAATTCTAAATCAATATATAACTAGAGCTGCTAGAGAGAGATGGCTATTGAAGCAAAAGACTTGAGGCTGGAGGACAAGAGACAAGTTGAGGCCAAAGCCTGACACAGAGAAGGAGCTTAGATAAAGAAATTCCTAAGTGACACAGGCTGAGCTCTCTGGACTTAAAGCTACCCTGAGTATGGTAATGTGATAAACTGGAAAAGGGATGCAAGTTACCCATGTCCTAATATCTGAGCCTATATAATCATCATTTGAAAAAAGACCAGGAAAGAGAACTGTCTAGAAATATTCTACAGAGTTCATGCACTTTGCAGATGTGATTAAGTTTAGGGTCTTGAGATGAGGAGATGATCCTGGTCATATAGGAGAACCCTCAATGCCATCAGCAGTGTCCTCCTGAGATAGGCAGGAGAAATTACACACA